AACGTTTTTGGCGCCACCTTCACGTTCGCATATCGTCCTTCACTTGTTTTGACTCTGCGAACGCTCAGATGGTCCCAAAGGCATGCGAAAGACCACAGAAGATATATCGAGGAAATAGAAAAGGATTCATGCGATTTTTTTTTTAGATTTCTTATAAAATATGTAGAGAAACTATTAAATTGGAGATTTAAGTGCCACTTATGTAAGTAAACGACCCTACGGAATGGGTAAGGTCAGCACAGGTGTCCTCACGAAGGGACTGTAACAAACACAGAGTACGCCATTTGTGGGACACCGCGCTCGAGGGATGGGGAGGGAGACCCATCCTGGCCTCAGGTGTCCATTGTGAAGATGTATGATTATGTAAACACACACACTCACACTCACACACGCTCAAACACAAGCACAAACACACACACTCACATATGCACAGACACACACACTCACATGCACACACACACACACACACACACACACACACACACACACACACACACACACACACACACACACACATTCACATGTATACACATACGATCGTTTACATACACACACAAATCCACAAAAACCTAAAGAAGCATACTTTCACACACCAATTTATAGCCACACAGACCTACGAACATGCACATACACTGACAAACATGAAAAAGCATTAAAAAAAAACACAGCTACACACGCATACGCAAATAAAAAGAAACAAAGCAAAAACACACACATACACACACGAAGGGAAGGGCAAGAAAACACACGAATATGCCGAAGGCCTTTTCGCTAATGCATCGTCAGGCCTTGGCGAAGCATTAGAGAAAAGGCCTTCGGCATATTTGTGTATTTTCTTGTCCTTCCCTTCGTTGTTTCTGTTGCAATCTGTTCATCATGAATTGCACACACACACACACACACACACACACACACACACACACACACACACGCACACACATATATATACATACATACATATATATGTATATATATATGTATATATAGATATATGTATGTATTTATACGCACACAGACACAGACACACACACACACAACACACACACACACACACACATATACATTTATATATATATATATATATATATATATATAATATTATATTATACATTATATATATTATATATATATATATATATATATATATATACATATATTATATATATATATATATATACATATATATATATTATATATTATATACACACACAACACACACATATACTCACAGCACACACGTACCTACCCAGCACCCTTATACACACACACACACACACACACACACACACACACACACACACACACACACACACACACACACACACATATATACATATATATATAATATTATATATATATATATATATATATATATATACATATATACACACACACACACACATACACACACACATACACAGACACATACACGATCACACAGACTGGAAACAAATTGAATTTAGAGGTGTCATACTATCATTCAGCTGGTATCTTGTGCAGTATATAAAGTTATACACCATGAACATGACTGGCAAATACGAAATTACTATAGGTAAAAATCTCTTAAAGCTGAATCCAAACAAGAAACGGCAAATGTGCAAGTTTCTAGATGCAACTCTTAGGCTTTTATTTCAATTATGTATTTATGTCATTTTCCTAAACAATAATACTCTAGACACAGGAAGAGGCGGAGAGTTTGGCCGACGCTCCGACTCGAACGCTGAGGTCGGAGGGGGGGGGGAGGTCGGCCTTGTTGATATGTGAAAGACAGACTCAAGCTGAAGCATCGTAAGGTACACTCCCTAGTGCGCTAAGGTTGTCTGAACTCTACTAGGTTAATCTAGGCCCCTAATGGCCTTCTGTCTACTCTAGGCCACCTACCGGCCTTACTCTAAACTAAGTGGGCATTTGTTTCTCAGTGTTCCAAGTGTTTGTGCTTGAAGCGGGTTGGTACACCATAGACCAAATATACCCATGGCCATCAAACAGTCTAATGTTCACACCAGGCCATTACACAGCCTGCTATTCACACTAGGCTACTTAAACTTGGCCCTCTACTGGCCTACTCTAAACTAGGCCACCGTAAGGCCCACTGACTACGCCACCAAAATGTGCACATGATGTCTTCTCAACTAGGGAACTTCTGCTGTCTGTCCATACTATCAATGTATAAATATATGTACAATAAATATCTTGAATGCAGTCTATCCTATCTTTATGGACTGTAATGCTAAGAGCATCGAGGTCTAAGAGTACACAAAGGAAGGCTAACTGCAAAGTTCTCCCATCGTCGCGAAAACGTTGCCCAACTTGCTATCTGGGGCGGGAATGAAGATTGGCAGACCGAGTTATTATTAGCAAACACAACAGTAGATGGTTTTCCAGGTACACACTACTATATAAAAGTATTAAGAACAATTCTCTACGATTATCTAACGGGTAGTAACATCTAATCATCCCTATCATATAAAACTACACCTATAAACTAATCCCTTCACACTGGCTTAGCCTCTCTCCACAGTTTCTTCCACATCAGGCGGGCCAACTAAAGCTCCATGAAGGTTTTACATCTGCAAGTAAATCAGACAAGAATACACCAAGTCTGCATCTGGGAATATCTGGGTTCTAGCTTGGTGATAAACCTCCAGTATTGCAAAAACCCGGCGGAGATTCCAAGGAGAACTTGCTATTCACAACTCGTAATAAGCACTGTGCCAGACCAGACTCAACGGGGAAAAAGTTCGGAGGTAGAAAGCTCCAAAATTTGAAAAGCAGCAGCGACCTTGCCATACGATTGATTTATGTAACGTCATATGGCATTAGCATATAGAATATCGGAATATTAAAATAGACGTATATATGTAAATATTGCTGAAAAAATTGGCAATTCGACGTAAATTCATATATAAATGCCGCCAAGACTACAGAAGTACCAATTTCTTGGATGTGGTGTCGTGTGCAGAGAGGGCGGGGCGTCCTCACGTGGGGGAGGAGCTGGTCCTTCTCGTAACCAATGAAAAACATCAGTGGGTGGCCTGAGGTTCTCTGTACTAATGGTTGGCCGTGGCATTAAGTGAACGGCACTCTGCCAACCCACCAGATTATGAAAAACGGCAGGCTGTTAAAATCGGTACCAAATGTTGTAAAGGGATAATGGAAACACTTGGTCAAGTGACCTGGAAAGTCTGGCTGACCCGACCTGAACCAGGGAAGCAGATCAGCCAAGTGGTGGGTGTGCAGCGTCGCCGCTAAGAGTAGAGGCACAGTAACAAGGCAAGGGAGAGTGAGCAACAGAAGTTAGGACACTTGATTGCTACTTTATAACCCACATGGAACACACTCCTGGTAATTCTCGGTACGTGTGATTATGCATTTACAAACATGCATATCCACTGTATTAAGAAAAGACATCAATAAGCCCTAAAGTTGGAAAAAATATATCTTTAGATATTGCGGAATATCAGAAAATGCAACTTCATTTTACAATTATTCACCATGCATTAAGTAAACACTATTTTGGACAAGTATAATACAACGTCGATATACGGATATTCCTGTCCAGCCAAGTAAAACCTACAGGAGGACATGAATTTGAGAATGGCCCAACGCAGCATCATCCATGGCTTTAAAACGCTAAAAGCAACTGGTCGATCTCGAAACGATACTGAACGTCGAGTGGCAATACGAAGAGGTTGGACATTTCTCTGACCTTTGCGAGTGTCTTTAGAGGCTCGTGACGACTTTACATCCCCAGCGACTACTTACACCAACATTAGAGAGGATGAAAAGTAACACAGCGTAGCGAATCGGAGAGTAATAGAATACGGCATAGCTAGACACCATAAACTTGGGTCTTTGGCCTCACGACGTTACTGGGTCAGCAGCAATTTCCATGTACAGCTCTTTGTGACAACACTGCTTAGCCACTGTCTAGAGTTCTGAGAACGTCATCGTAGTAGAATGACAACCTACAATCCAGTAGAATTTTGTCATCCCACGCTACCTCGCACTGATTATCAGGTAGACGTCCAGATGGATACGAAAACGATAGTGGGGAGGTGCGTGGATACTACGGCTCGACACTCAGCCAGGGAATCTCGTCACTCCTTTCAGTCAGACAGAATGATCTGGTAATATAAATCGGAAAAGTTGAGTCAGGGTGTGGTCTTAATAGGGTTATGTTAAGACGTAGACGTGACGCTGTGGGTGTATATCTTGTGAAAAATCTTCTAGGTATGACTATAGAATCTCTTACAAAGTGATTGTGAATAGATCTTAAGCAAATTCCGAGGATAATGTCGCGATGACAATCTGTCGTTGATATGAGATAATCAAAAGCCCATCGAAAAAATCTCAAATGCTATTAGAACATTTCTCTTCAAGGTAACTACAAAGGGAAAAAGCCATTTTATTTTTCGCCATCATAGACGAAAATTATTTCCCCATTACTCACTGCAGGGAAGTCTGGCTAAATGTGTATAAAGAGAGACTGATGATCATAGAGATCCAAAGAATCACCACCCGCCGCCACGTCTCCGTGTAGTATCATCATAGTTAAGGTCATGAATGGATGTCGTCACAATCGTTTGTTACGGTGGTCGCTGCTGCCACCGCCTTCCGCCGTAGTCGTGGCTGCGAGGACGCGCCATTCGAGGCGTCCCAAGAGATTTAGAGCGGCGAAAGACCTACTATTCCCCCCCTGGTCGGCTATGCGGCTGCAGGGGGGCGGACCTCATAGGCTCACCCAGATCTCCCCTGCCGTCCGCCGCCGCTGTCAGGAGGAAGAACTCGACGACGAGCCGGAGGAAGTGGCGGCGGTGAGGAGGGGCGCGTTGACATGGGTCAGCGTTGACCGTCGGGGCTCCAGGTCGAGGGACATCCGGTACAGGTTGTCGTCGCTGAGGAGCAGGCTCGGGTCCAGCAGGTAGGCGGTGACGCGCGGGTTGTGCTCGATCTTGTAAGGTGTCTGCTGGAAGTGACGGATCTCTCGGATCACGTGGGCGATCTGAGGGAGGAAGGGGCGGTCAGGAACACATCATGGCAATTGTAATAATTTCGAAGCTCACATTTTCACAGTAAATTCCTCTTGTGCACAATGTAGTTTCCTGTCAATGAAGATGCTGCTAGTTGCATATAAATTGTTGAGGAACATCCTAGATACTTGTTTTCAAAATATAGTGAAAGCAAAAGACATGCAAGAAACTAACTGCAAGGAAATGTTTAAAATATCATCAATGTTGTGCACAGTAAATCGACCGATTTCGGAAGTGCTTGAAATTAACGCCGTAGCCAAGTCTAAATGTTTGTAGATTTTATATTGTATCAGAAATACTATCAGCACTCTGCTTTCCTTACCATTCGCATCTTGGAGAAATTGAGTAGCGTATCTTCTGTGAAGTTCGGCGTGCCTTCCTCGATGAAGGAGAGGTCGGTCAGGTACATGCCCAGGTAAGGGATGCAAGGCGGGTCGCACCTGTGGAGGGCGTCGCGGAGGCTGCGGAACCTGCCGTCGGAGGAGACGAGGGCCTGAAGCTTCTCGAGGGTCTGGCGTGTCTGTGAGGGGTGGGAGACATGGTAAAGTAGGAAAAGAGGGTTACCAGGGCAGTTTGGAATCAAATGTATTTCTTACTTGCATTAAAATGACTCATTCTGTTTGCTTAACACCGTTGGTGGTACGTAAAAAGAAAAGAAAAAAATGGTGAGCATCTTCATTCATATAACTGCATCGTTGCGAAACTACGTCATTATTCTCCCTAAACAAACTACCTTATCCGTCACCTCCAGTATCCTGTCTCGTCTACACAGTATGTTTTAGCAATTGTTCTTTTCCTTCTTTAAATCAAGAGCGCTCTTATATAGCAAAGTGCCCCTTCAGTGAGGCGTATGCCATTTTTTTAAGTGAACCATTGTCCAGCTGAAAGTCTTTGTACGCCACTGCATTCACATGACTTTCTTAGCCTTTTTTTCATACTCACCGTTTTAGACACTTTCTCCCATGTTTTCTTTAGCCGGAACACGGATGAGTTCTGGAAGGCAGCGCATACCTGTGAAAAAGACAAAAGGAAAGCTAAATCACAGATATAATAAAACAGAAAAATATTAATGGGGATAAGCAAGTCGCAAAGCAAAAGAAGTAATTAACGCATTTTGATTAAATTATGCAATTTTAATTTAATCCTAAAGAAAGCTTAATCGAAATGCACCAATGACGCATCTTGCTTTACGGAATTTTTCATTACCCTATTTTTTAAAAATGAAACAACAGAACAAATTAATGTCATCATAAAGAGAGAAGGAATCCAATCCCTTTGAGTTTCTAAGGAGAAGAATTACCTATACAGAGACCGTATGTGCTATGAAGAGTACCTGCAAAGTGGTCATTGTAAGCGTCCCAGACTAAAAGAAGCGGAATACCTTTTTTCGTAAGAAAAGTGAATGTCTACGTTCTGTGCTTTTCTTCCTGGTGGAATAACATATCCGTCGATGTTTTCCATTGTGTTTAGCCACCTGAGACATTTTTAAACACGAAGAAATCATTATCGTGGTAAAACTTCTCATTTGAAACAGGAAAACGATAAACATACCTGGGAGAAAGTGTGAAGTTAAGTAGCACACCTGGGAGGAAGTCAAGAGTAGGTTTAATTCACAGTTAAGGAAAATAAACTCCTGTTTCGGGGTCGCTACAGTGGATCACCATCTTCCAATTCATCCTATCCTCAGCCACTTCCTCTATCACACCGACCTCTTGCATGCCCTCTCTAACTTCATCCATGAACCTTCTTTTTATTCTTCCTCTTTTTCTTTTGCCTGGTAACTCCGTCCTCAACAATCTTCTACCGATGTACTGCACGTCACTCCGCAGAACATGGTCAAACCACCCAAGTCTTACCTCTCTTACTTTTCCTCCTAAGAGTCCAACTTTACCTGTCCCTCTTATGTAGTTGTTCCTAATCCTGTCTTTACTCGACACTCCCAGAGAAAATCTCAACACCTAGAGCTCAGCAGTCTCTAGCTCTGTTTCTTATCTTTTCGTCAATGGTACCGTTTCCAGTCCATATAAAACTTTAGGAAAATAAAATAATTTCCCATAAATTCCATGAGATTCCAGGATAAAGGATTCAGAAAATAAGTCGATAATGGACAGTGTTTTCACCGTTTAAACATACCACCATGCAATCAGTGGAATCATCCATTTTGAAAGTCACAATCAAACCGTTTTTTCCACTTACATGTTGCCAGAAAAGGGGCTGTTGAAGCGACTAGGGATATAGCATGTATTTCCGTTTAGACAATTTTTAATGAAGCGAAATAACATTCATATTACTCTTATGTATTCATCTAGTTTAAGAGAGGAGGGAAGGAAACAACTAATCAACACTCTACACTTCCACCAGCACGAATCCACCTTCGTTTACAAGTACCCGCCTCTTCGTCGCCACGCACCTGCAAAACGCCATTGTAGTTATGGAGGCAACGGCAGATGTCAGCCACAGCCACCCACTTCTCGATGACGGCGATGCGCGAGGCCAGGGTAGCTCCTCGAATGATTTCCGAGGCCACCAGACGCGACACCTGGAATGTAGGTTTGTTTGTGAATGGTCATTACGGGTGTAGAAGTCTTATGTTGTTCGCTATAATGGAGTTAGGGTTGATATAGTTATAAGAACTTTTCTGCTTTTGTTTCGATATGAGATGATAAAAGGAGATAGATTGATAGAAAATCTTAATGTTCTTTAGGAGTGTCGAAGCCTTATATGTTCTTTATCATTCGTTGTAATGGAACAAAATTAAAAAGATTATAAAAAAAACCTTCTTGCATTGTCTAGATGTGAGAGAGACGAAGAAAGGGATAAAAGATAGGGAGGATTGAGAAAGAGAAACAAGAAGACAGAAAACCAGACAGATAAACAGATAAAAGATAGAAGAAAGGCAAATAAAAGAATCAAAGGATCTCCCTGCCCACAGAAGGGCGACATCCCGAATCCCTGCCAGAGACAAGGCATGGCATGAGCGTCCTACCTCGTTGAAGCGCCGAGTAATCAGAAGGATATATGGCGCCTTCTGCTGCTTGTCGTCCTTCATCCAGGCGGTCTTCAGGAACTCTCTGTTGAGGATTTTTTTATTAGTTTGTTTTTTGTGTATTTGTTTTGATTCGTGTGTCCGTGTGTATTTGTGTATTTTTTGTTTTTTTGTGTGTATTTCTGTACTTGCATGTGTTTACGTTGTATTTATTCTTCTGTATGTGTGTATATACGTTTACATGTGTTTATGTGCGTTTGTTCTTTTGTATGTGTGTCTGTATTTTCATTGCTCTATGTGTGCTTGTTCCTTTACATATGTGCATATTTGTTTACCAGCGATTTTGTGCACTTAAAGGAATAAAACTCCTTAAAAATATGAGAAGCTAACAGATATACATAATAACCCAAATCGTACATATTAATAATCCATGAATAATGAGAGACAAAAATATATTGTATATATAACCAAACGAAGTGAAATGAAGAAATGATTTTATATATGCAATTAAAATGCCAAGGAATAAATCAAGAGAGAAAAAAACAGCATACAGCATTACTCACTCGCTCCTGATGGCCACGAAGATCTGATGGTCGATGTACGTCATCTGCTCGGCCACCTCGAGCGCTGACAGGGTCTCGATGCTCTCCTTGCTTGGGGTCTGAGGGCGGCGAGGCGATGGGGGGGGGGGGGGAGAAAAGGGTCTAAATTAGGGTATATTTCATTAAACATAGAGTACAAAAGATTATGCGTAAGGGTCTGTGCATATATGTATATATGTATTGGTCTAATATTGTTACTGTTACAGTTGTACTTAAACTTGGAGCCTCAGTCTTATCAGTATGTATTATATTACTTATTTCATCATTCAGATTCACACTCAAATATGGCTTCTTTGTCTTCCTCCAGATTCTTATCTTCCTATTTTCTTTATTATATCTTTTCATTCCCAAAATATACCATCTTCTTCCATATGTTAAAGTACTGAAACACAAGCATCAGGAGTTCTATGTGCAGGCAGGCAGACTCCAAACAAAACTGAAAATAAAGATAACAAAGGCGAAAATAAGAAAGACGAAAACATAACAGGGAAGAGAAACAAACAATAACAACAACGGAATACACTACAGGTGTTACACTACACTAAATGTGATTTTTTACAGTACTTTTGGGTGATGTAACAATATTCTAAATAAATGATGTTGCAGAACGTGTTGATGATGTGTATATTTACAAGAGCGTATCAGGTGAAGCACAGACCTACGTGCACGTACAAACATATGTATACATAAGCATACTAACATGCAACTGACAGACAAGCGAGAGCGAGGCTAAGCTGATTTGCAGTACTAGTCTTTCTATATTTTATTAAATAAGAATGATGCCTATATAAGAATCCATGGCATTATCGTTTGTTGATACTCATTTTTTTTGTAAAACTGAAATCCCTTTCCATGGTATAAACTTGGAACACTCAACCATTCAAAGGGTACTATCAATTGTAAATATTTATTTGTCCTTGGCTCCTGCCATAATAAAGGTATAAGCTTTGTGACGTTTCTTCAAGCCTGTGAAACCAATAGTACCGCCCTTAAGTGAGAAGGAAAGGGGGAAAAGAACCCAAAGATAAAAAAGAAAACAGAAAAAATATAAAAACGGTAGATCTGGTGAGTCTAACTTTTTCAACAACATAACAACAAATAAAAATCTATATTGAAGGATATAGAATCTTTGCATAAGAGCACATTGGTCTGAATATTATTTAGTAAGCAGACGAATAATTCGAGCGGTTAGCCAGACCCATAACCAGAAGCTGGATCACTCGGTGTCAGGGAAGCCATGCTGATAATCGAATGATACCCATGGATGGTTGGGTATGGGGTTTGATCACTCACGGTGGGCGGGGCGAGGAGAGTGTTCAGATCCACTCGCGGATTGGCTGGCTCCTCCTTGGTGAGTAACCTGAGTAACTGCGAGGCGGCCTTGTGTTCAGCTGGCAGGAGGGTCGGGCAGCACACCAGATCGTCCAGGAACTCGATCGTGAGGGTCTTCAGCCGCAAGTCCGTCTCGAAGTCCTGCGGTTAGCCATGTTGGGGTGAGGGTTATGTTGGTCTAAGATTTTTTTGTAATGCATGTGAAGGAGAGAGAGACTATAAGATATGTCATTGGTATTCGAGTATAAATCAGAGGTACTGACCTGGGAATGCTTAGAGACCCAGTGGCGAAGGACGTTGAGGACTCGCATGGTGGCAGCGGTAGAGATAATGGACTCCTGTCGCGATGGACGTTCCCTGAAGGAGGAGCGACGTCCCTCGCCCCCGACGGAGAACCTGCCGAGGGGTGGAGTCTTGGGGATGTCCCTCGGGTTGCTGGATCCCGCTGTGGCCACTGCAAAAGCGGCCGCTGCGGAGGCACTGCTGCTCCTGTGAGAGTGAAGTGTGAATGTGGAATGTTAATGACATATATAGAAAGATATATAACTAGCTAGTTTGCTAGCTACCAAGATAAATATATATATAGATAAATGGATAGATAGATAAATAGACTGATATATATATATATATATATATATATATATATATATATATATATATATATATATACACACACACACAACACACACACACACACACACACACACACACACACACACACACACATATATATATATATATATAATATATATATAATATATATATATATATATATATATATATATATATATATATATATATATATATATATAGAGAGAGAGAGAGAGAGAGAGAGAGAGAGAGAGAGAGAGAGAGAGAGAGAGAGAGAGAGAGAGGAGTTACTACTCTAATTTAAAAGTAAATCAATTTCATAAAACGTAATATTTAATTTACCTATTTCCTTAAGACCAAGAGTTACATATATATACAGATAAAGATAAACCTCATCTGACCTCACTTGACCTTGTGAGTAACTGACCTTCGCTGAGACTGTCGGGAGGATGTAATGACGACCCCGACCCTTGGCACGGAGTGTGAGGGCGAGTCTGGCACCTGTGTGGAGTATTTGCGTCCATAAACATACTAATTATGGACCTTAATGACAGTCCCTTTACATCCCTTTATTCCCCTATGTTATGCTTACATTACATTGGAATTGGTTTCATTTGCACACATCAATTTGGAGACTCCTATGACATTATGCACACTTTCCTTCACTCAAAGATTTGTATGTGTTCTACATATTGAATGTAAAAATGAGAGTATACGTGATTTAACGTATTGAGGATAGATTTAGTTTTCTTTTTTATATAAGAGCTATAAGATATACTGCATTATGGAGTGTAATATTTAGATACCCCATTGCAAATATATGGTACCAAGAAGGATGCAATTCCGGGAAAATCTGTTTTGGCGTATGGTTTCATCTCCAAGGATAGACGGTGACCTGTGAAGAAGCGGTACCTGGAAGGATGACCTCGGAGTGGCGGTGTGGACGCTGGAGCGCGGGGAGGCCAGGCCGCCCGTGTCGCTCTCGCAGCTGAGTCTCTTGGCGCCCCTGACGCGTGGCCCGACGAGGAGGAACCCTGGCGAGGAGGTGCTCGGGGCGGCGCTGTGGGAGCGGGCGGCGGAGCGTCGTCGTGCGCCCATCCCGGCCACGGGGTCCTGCTCATCTTCGGCCTCTGAACCTGAGGTCACGGTCTCCATCTTGTTCCACCCCTGAGGGGAGACCACGTGAAGAAGCAACACTTCCCAGGGACCTTTCTTTGAAGCAATTCAGCAATGAAGGGTTTAAATGCTCTAATGTGTGACCGGAAAGAAAACTTAGGAATTCGCTACATCTTAGAATAAGAGGTGTTTATTAGTGATTAAAAATCCTAAAGTAAATGTCCACAGAACGACTGAAATCTACTAGATTCTAAGCCTGCTGGGAGACACGGACCTGACGGTGCTCCTCGAGCGAGGACATCCTGGGCGGCAGCGAGCGCCGGGGCCCGGAGCCAGGACGGGGCGGAGAGGTGATCACGTCCAGGATCTTGGAAGGGCGGCGCGTCCTGGACACTCGCTCGCTGTCGAAGGGCAGCTTCCAGTCGGAGAAGCCCTGGAGGGCAGGCCCCGCGCCCGTCAGGGTTGAGGTGGATGCGTCCGTCGGGCTGTCCGGCTGACTCATGCTCTCTGGTGATGGAGAAAACAAGTAAATCTGGAAGACCTGTGGCTCATGAACACAAAAAATACATTCAGTGAACATCCATATAAATACACACAATAAACTATACAACCCCAGTGAACATGAAGCCATCTCCAAAAGAGATATCACACTGATCTCCACTCACCATCGCCAATAAGTGTATCAGCCGAGGACGTGGAGCCGGCGACGCGGCGACCCTTGGGGATGGTGAGGTACTTGGGGTCGTCGTCCGTCCGGATGGTGACCTGCGGGGGAGAGGGGGACGGTGAACGAGGCAGCGGTCTCGCCACAGACGTTTGCCGAATCACTGCATGGAAATCATCACACACACACACACAGAAGAGGAGGGAGAGGGAAAGGGTGATATAAATAGATAGAGACAGAGAAAGAGAGTGAGCGAAAGAGAGAGAGATGCACAAACGAAAAAAAAGAAGATATACAAACAAAAGCCAGTACGGCACAGATAACGGCAGAGAAGACCAAGACCTACCTTCTTGGGGCTGAACGGAGAGTTGGGGGCACTGACGGGGAGGTTGGGGCCCTCCTGGGACCCTCCCGCGCTTCCCTGTGGGGCCGCGGCGGGGGGGTCGGACTCCTCCCGGACGCGACGCTCCTCTTGCTCACGCTGTTCCTCTTCGACTGTTGGGAGGGAAAGAGGAAGGAAGGAAGGAGAGAGGGAAGAAGGGAAACAAAGAGGAAAAAATGAAAAGATGAGAAAAAAGGGGTGAGGAAGGAGGAGGTGAAGGAAGAGAGGGGAAGAAAGGAAAAGGGAGAAGGAGGTAGGGGAAAGACGATTCGGAAGAGAGCAAGAAGGGGCGAAAGGGAGAGGGGAGTGGGGGAAAGGCAGGGGAAAACAAAGGGAAGGAGGGAAGAAAGAAGGAAAGGGTTGAGGGATGGAAGGAACAGAAGAGCGAAAGGAGTGAAGAACGAACGAGAGGATGGGTAAAACACCCAATTAGTCAAATCTAGGATAAAAACATTGTTTCAAGTATATCATAGTATATCAACGGGTTATGAAATCCATCGTATATCAGCTATAGACATCGTATCCACAACACAAATACGAGTATAACACAGAGAACAAGTGGAGAACAAGCGGGAGACATCATTATGATTATTGATTCATTCACACATATACATAAATGGATACTTACATGCAATTATTAACATTTACTGATACGTTTATACACAGATAAATATACACATTGTTATATATGCATATATAGTCATCACATTTCAGTTATATAAAAGATATACAATGCAGATGAGTTTGTGTGTACCTTTTTGGTTGTGTGGATTGCTTATGTGCGTATGTGTTTGTGCATGTGTGTGTGGGTACATGTGGTTATATATATATGGTTGTTTGTTTGTTTGTCCGTGTCTGTTTCGCCTGCGTGTGTGTGTTTGTGTGTTTGTGTGTGCGCGTGTGTGGTGTGTGTTCATATGTGCATATAAATGTGTGCAAGTGCATGAGACACGGCTACGGACCGAGTGACATCTAAACATGTCCCCGTTTTCTACATAAATGAAATGAAATAAAAAAAAAGATAAATCACCGGTCATTGAACAAAAACACCCAACACGTGTGAACTTACAACGCCTGTAGGACCAGCGCCAGTGTTGGTTTCCGGAAGCCTTGGCCACCTGAGCGTCGAAGGTCCAGCACCTGTCCCGTGGTGCTTCCATCTCCAGCCCTACATTAACCCATACATTATACCTTCACGCTGTCCTGTGGGGCCATCATGGCGCCTGGCCTCCCACTCTCTCACACTTGCGATATTGGCTATTTTGCGTTACAAAAAATTGCACACTGTCTCTCAGCGGACATGCTTTTTTATTGTCATATTTACACATGACCCTCATAAACTGGATTCATTTTAAAGCCTCGATGTTAAATATAGATTACTTGCGTTATAGGCAAATTATGGGTATCATAATGCAATATGATCAGCATGCACCAACGTTGAACACCACACCTTAATATCACACATGACACCGAAACATATTCTTATGGGAGTATTTAAGTTCGAAGTGTTATTTAGGGCAGGCTTATTACAAGGAACACATTATTTATTTAAGATAAACAAAATACTTATGTGGTAACTTATAATACATAAAGATATATACAGAGCTGCGGTAGCATATTAACATACAAACATATATTCATATCTATTTTTATACACTTTGATAAATTACTCAAAATTTATATCTAATTACATTTTTATCTATTATTTTACTAACTCATTTACAGCATATGTTGCCTATTGATACCAAAGAGGTTAACTTATCATCTATGTTTACGTCATATCATTCCGTCTGGGGAAAAGGAAGGATTAAAAATGGGAATAAAAGAAGAGAAAGGAGAAAAGGGGAAAAATAGAGGAAGAGGGGGTGGGGGGCGGGGGAAGGGAAGGAGGCGATAGGAAGGCGCGTAAGGACGACATGAAGGAGAAATACCACTACCTGGGAAAGGGCTGAAGGTGGAGGTTCTTCTCGGGGAGTTCCTTCCGCTGTCGAAGTCCGGCGGGGGCGAAGCTACGTACTCGGGGGACCTGCGGGGAGCGGGGGCGAAGGACACAGCGGCCGTTAGTGCGGTGATGAAAATTAATAGGTCGAAAAGCAAGGTAAATCCAGGGGATCGTTACAGCTCTTTCGCTGTCCCTAGTCTGCCCCTGCACAAACATATACTTCTTCCCTTTCTCTAACCCCTCCCCTTCCCCTGCCCATAAACCACTTCCCTTTCTCCAACCCCTCCCCTTCCCCTGCCCATAAACCTCTCCCCTTTCTCTAACCCCCTATTCCGAAACGCCATCCCCCTGA